GTTGTATTTAACCAAATAACCCCACCACGTTGTCAACAAGATGGTTCTAACTCATAGTGACCTTAATAAGACAGAGAAAAACTCTCCCGCAGGGTTTGCAAGGCTGTAAATCTTTATGCATGCAGTCTGCTGCCTCTTTCTCTCACTGAGAGACAAGTGTATTCAGTCCCCCCAGCTTTTGGTTAGGTGAGTAGACTACCCCACCGTGCCCCCAGGGCTGCTGATATGCTGTATGTCATGGTGAGATTCTTAGTTTTGCTATGTTGATTTTATAAAGCCTTTCTCATTCTGCTAGCTTTTTATTTTACAGAACGTTTTCTTTTTAATTCTAATGTTAAAAATAAGCAAAAGTGACTAGAATTTAAACATAAAGTTTACTCTAAGCAGCTATTCTACATGCACTTTGACTCCAGAAAAAACAAATGGCCTGAAGCAGCTAGATATAATAAGGATTGTAAAGAGGAGAGAGAGAAATATGAATTAGCTATTGTCTAATCTTAACAGGGTTGATGGAGATCTGCCTTTTTCCTTCACGGAGAGCAGCTGACATCAGATTACTTCTGGCTGGGCTGCTAGTCATTTGGTCCTTGGCCTGCCTGCACCCAGGAGGCTTTTTAAGATTTTAAATTAAGAGATAAAGGTTTGATAAGGCACATTTACAGGCCTGTCGCTTTGGTGGCTTAGCTTGGAGGCTGTTATGCTGCTAATCACAAAACCTCAACTGGCGGCAGTTAGAATCCACTGGCAGCTCCAAGGTAGAAAAATGGACAGTTTCCTCCCAGTACATTTCAGAGACCTTTGAAAAGTCAATATGGGTCAAAACCAACTCAAAGGCAGTGAGCAGAGCGGTGTGAGTCAGCCTTTCTGTAGTAAATATTGGATTTCATGAGCAAGAGAAGACTAAAAATAAAAAAAATAATAAAAAAAGAGATAACTGTTGTTATTGTGCCTGTTCATTGATTACTGCTTATATCTTCGAGGCCATACCCCAACTCTATCTCTCAGCATTGTTTTGGATGATTTTATGTGTTTATCAGCCTTGATCAATTCCCCATCACCCAATATTAGAAGACTATTCCCATCATCGTTGATTTGCTCCATGTTTTAAAAGCCATGATGGGTTATATATTGACACATTCAGTTGTCCTAGAATGAAAGAATGCACACGCTGTAACACATGAAATCAAGAAATTAATTGAAAGTCTAGAGAGCTTCTCTCTGTTTATTTCCATGGCATCTGAACCTACTCATATGAACCCTCCAGACATTTCTAACACTCTATAAACTTCACAAGAGGAGATTGTCCAACTTTCTATTGTTAAGCTACTGGTGGATTTGAACTGCCAGAGGGACACGACTTTTGGGTTAACAGAGCACCTCCTTACACAGTACACCACCAGAGCTCCCCCAGGGATGCGCTAGATTGGGAAAATGTCCAAAATCATGGAGTAAAGAGTGCTGCTTGTCATATAATAAAGAGGTGAGCATTCTTTTTTTTTAAAAAAAAATTATTTTCTTATTTTGTGTGTACTGTCAAATCAGATCTGACTGGTACAGAAAGAGGTTGTCCCTTCTCCAGCAGAGCATCTGGTGGGTTCGAACTGTGCACCTTTGGGATTGCAGTGCAGCTTCTTGCCACTAGGCTACCAGAGCTCCCTGAGGAGAGGATTCTTATACAGGTGAAGTTGTTGTTAGGTGACATCAGGTTGACTATGAGTAACAACGACCTTATGAAAAATGGATCAGAACCTTGCCCTATCCTGTGGCATTTCATGATCTCATTATCTCTTATATACTTGAGCCCACTGTTACAGTCACTGCTTCAATCCATCCCATTGAGGGTCTTCCTCTCTTTGACTGACCCCTCCACCTTTTCATGCATAATGTCCTTTTCCAACGACTGGTCCCTCCTAACACCACACCCAAAATATGAGACGAAGTTTCACCATCCTTACCTCCAAAGAGTACCCTGGCTACCCTTATCCCAAGACATATTTGTTTGTCCTTTTGGCAGTCTATGGGATATCAGCACTCTCTTCCAACACCACAACCCAAAGGCATCAGATCTTCTTAAGTCATCCATATTCATTGTCCAACTTTTAGATGTATAACAAATAATTGAAAAGATGATGGCTTGAATCAAGTTTTCCTTAGTCTTTGAACTGACTTTATTGTTCCTTAACACTTTAAGGGTCTTTGACAGCAGATTTACCCAATGCAATACATCATTTGATTTCATGACTGCTGGTGCCACGAGTGTAGATTGTGGATCCAAGCAAGATGATATGATTGACAACTTCAGGTTTTTCCCCGCATATCATGATGTTGCCTATCAGCTCAGTGGTGAGAATTTTTGTCTTCTTGATGTTGAGATATAATCCATATTGAAGACTGTAGTCCTTGATTTTCTGCAGCTAGCATTTCAAGTCCTCTTTGCTTTTGGCAAGAAAGGTTGTGTCATCTTCATAACACAGGTTGATTAAAGAGTCTTCCTCTGATTTTCTATATCATAATCTTCTTAGTGACGTCCAAAATCAGAAACTAAAAAATCATGATTGATTGCTGGACCATCGGAGAGATAAAATGGGATATCTGAGAACAGGGACTCGTAGATAGCATATATATGAAAGTACATAATTGGTTTTTGCTAGGTGCTGTCTAGTCAATCAGGACACCCAGCCACCCTAAGGACAGCACAGTTGGGACCATGGCCTATCCTGCTCTGTGATCTCTGTCATGCTCAAGACCATTAGAGCAAACATTGTGTCAGTTCATCTCATTGAGAGGCTCCTTTCTAAGGTCTGTTTCCTCCTAAAAATATGCCCAAACTAAGTGAGAGGAAGTCTCACAATCCTTGCCTCTGAGAATCACTCCATTGCATTTCCTTCTAGACAGATTTGTTTGTTCTTTTGGCAAATCCCAGGACATTCAATATTCTTCTCCAACATCACAATCCAAAGGCATCAATTCTTCTTTCATCTTTGTCTTATCTAACTTTCAGATGCAGAAGAAGCAATTGAAGATACCATGGCTTGGAGCAGGCATACATTAGTCTTTGAACGGAAATCCTTGCTCTTTAGAACCTTGAAACAATGAAACAGACCTATTGCTTTCTTGATGCAGATCCACATAAAATGAAATTGTTGACAAATTAATCCTTTCTGCGTCTGTTACAATGTTGCCTATTGATCCAGTTGTGAGAATTTTTGTTTTCTTGATGCTGAGTTGTAATCCATCCTGAAGACTCTAGTCTTTGATCCTCTGCAGGTAGTGCCTCAAGTAGTCTTCACTTTCTGGAAGCAAGGTTGGCTCATCTTATAATGCAGGTTGTTGATAAGCTTTCCTCCAATCTTTATGCCATATTCCTTTTATGGAGTTCAGTTTCTCAAAACATACAGATGTAATAACCAAGATATATTAATAATACCTGGTGAATGGAATGAAAAAATAGAAAGCAAAGCATTATGACAGGTATTTGGAAAATATAGCCTTGGTTACAGAAATGAGATTGGGAATCAAATGATAGAATTTTGTACAATGGATGACTTATTTATTGCAAATACTTAAAAAAAAAACACCCAACCATATATGCACATATAAACATGGACTTCGTGTTATGGAGTACACAGGAGTGAAACTGACTTCATTTGGGGAAATAAACATTGGAGAATCTCAATGACAGTAGTCAAACCAGGCCACAGGCTGGCTATGGAACAGACCCTGATTGGTTAAAAGTACGTAATTGCAAACATTGATGTTCTTCACTTAACTATAGGATGATCACAAGACAATGGCAGAAGAAAATCTCCTGGGAATCTATTATAATCGCCTTCTCAAGCATGTCTTTCCTGGAGTTCCATTGAACAAGAAACTTCTGGAAGCTGTTGTCAGTTGAAACCCTTGGGCATAAATGATCACATGCCGTATCTGTTGGTTTTGTATTTTCGTTTTGTCTTGTTTTGTTTCTATTTTTTGTTTTGTTTTCTTTTATGCTGGTGTAATAGTGGGAAGACCCCCTGGGAAATAGCAAGGAAACATTTTGCATCTATATGACCATAGAGGAAAGTTTCTACCCTAGAGCAATATCATACAGTCAGCTTAAATAAAAACAAATGAAGTTTATTGAGAAATAGAGAAGGTCCAGACCTGGAAATGTCCATCTTCACAGAGTAAAAATAGCTTCTCCATTAAACCATAAAAAAGATACATTCTTTTTTTTTTTTTTCTGTTACATTCTTGTTGAAACCTGAACTAATGATTACAAAATTCATCCTTGGCTGAAAGACCATCTGGTGAGGCAAAGGTAGGATACCTCGAAGTGAGAGTCTGACAGCAAGCGATAAGTCCATGTACACAAGTCAAATCACATCGTAGGTCAAGTTTACATGCCGTTAGGTTTATTACCAGGTGATGCCAGGATGGTATCAAGCTGAGTTTTCCTGGTAACTGATTAGTAAAATTGCTTCCTTAACCATGTCTGTTTCTGGAAATCCATTGTAAAGATGTATTAATCCCATATGTCAAGACCCTTGAGCACAAGCTTTCACATCTTGCGTCTCTTTGATTGTCATTAAAAGACTCTTCAGGAAGATTGTCATGCTCTTCACCTACTGGACTGCAGAGAAAAGGAACGCCATAGTTTGGATAAATGGTTAACTAAGCACAAATATTGGGGGAAAAAAGAATTGCTACTAGAAAAGACAACTTTAGAATTCCACATGGAATCTAGATTCATGTGAGGACATTATGACAGAGTTAAGGCCCTGTTTCCAGGCTGCTTTGATTTTAGACTCTCATACACAGTCATTTTTGGATTCATGCCCTTTGGAGTCATGCATACGCTATAGCCATTGTCCAGCCAAGAGACTCCCCACCACCCATGTGGAAAAGAAAAACACACACACACAATAATTCTTTATTAAAAATATGAACTGTTTCCCCCAGAATATTAATTATATCATTATAATAATAAAGTAAATACCCCTTTCCCTTTTTTTCAGAGGCGAGCTGCAGATAATCTGAGACGACATCATCAGTACCAAGTAAGTTAACTTTGCATTAAATGTTGTAAAGTTGCAATTATTCTTAGTTTCTTAGTGCTGTCAGACAGAATGGCTGGCTTTTTGAATAAAGAAATTCACTTTCTCACAGTTCATGAAGTTATGAGTCTGAGCTTGCGGTGTTTGCTCGTCTGACAGAGGATCTTTGGCACTTTTAGGTGATATAGTTCAGTGTTCCTCGGTGATCCAAGAATTACCTCTATGCCTGCTAGCCCGTTTCCCTTGAGTCAAGTCAGGCCCATAGCGATGTCATACGAAAGCATAGCATGGGACCAGAGTGCTTCCTAGGCTATAATCTTGACAGCTTCAGTTGGTTTGGCTCTACAATCAACACTCTTGGTACCAGCAGCCAGGAAATTAAAAGATGTATTGTGATGAGAAAGTCTGATATGAGAGAACTTTCCAAAGTATTGAAGAGCAACGATGTTAGTCTGGAGACTAAAGTGCGCCTGATACAGGCCATGGTCTTTGCAATTACTTGTTATGCACCAGAGAGCTGGACAATGACTAGGGAGAATAGAAGGAGAGTTGATGCCTTTGAGCTGTGATGCTGGAGAAGAGTATTGAACATAGCATGGACTGCTAAGAAAACAAACAAGCTCATCCGAGATAGGTCTAAACCAGGCTACTTCTTGGAGACAAGGATTCTGAAGCTTTGTCTGATATACTTTGGACAAGTTGTGAGGTGGGATCAGTCCTTGGAGAGGGACGTCATGCTTGGGAAGGTGAAGGGACAGCCCAGGAGAGGAAGACCCTTTATGAGGAGGATTGATTCAATCACTAGGGTAATGGGGATAGGTGTGTCAGGAACAGTGAGATTGATTGACAAGGGATAGAGCAGGGTTTAGGGTTGCTATGAGTCACAGCTAACTTGATGGCACATAACAACAACAATCTTGAAGGAAGCCATCTATCACATCCTTCTCCCACTGAGCAACTGGTGATCTCAATCTCTAGACCCTTTGCTCAGCCACTTAACCATTTTAACACAGGAGTTCCTTTGTCTTTTGTCAGTTATTGTTCTTTTGTGCTACTGACTCACACACAGCTGATCCTCCAGCACGTTTGCAGAGACAGCTGGTAGATTCAAACCACCTGCCTGGCAGTGCACCTCCTCACCACCAGGCCATCTGACCCAGAAATAATTTACCTCCTTAACATAACAAGACCTAAACTCACTGTCCTTGAGTCTGGTCCAGCCTATAGCACTTCTCCAACAGCCTTTCCAAAGCTGTGAATCACAAAGGGATGAGGCTCCCCCTCTCAGAGCCAGAGGTGGTTTTGAACTGTTGGAGGCGTGCAACGGTTAGGTTAACAGCACAACTCGCTGTGGCCTAATCCACCAGGCCTCCCTTAATATACAAAAGAAAACCTTCCTCCCTCAAAGAAATACATAAGGTTTAGAATTCCAGCACACACATGTGGGAGACAAAATTCAATCTACAACAGCATGAACAAAAGATCCAGTCCCCGTTTTAGAACTGACCCAATAGAGAACTCATATACACACACTGACTGGCAGCGTCATTCTTTTCCAATGCCACAGGAGGTCATGCGAAACCTGGTGAAGCGGTATGTTGCTGCCATGATTCGAGATGCCAAAACCGAGGAAGGCCTGACAGAAGAGAACTTTAAGGTAACTGTTGCCCTCTGCATCCTGACAGCCAGAGGCAGAGCCAGCAGCGCGTGGAAGGAGACCCAGCCTGTTCAAATCAGAGCTGGAAGCTCAGACCCGGCACCGTGTGTCTCATAAGCCTGCAGGCTCCCAATTTTTAAGTCAAACCCCTATTGTGTTGATAAACAAGTAATACCTACAAATGGTAACGTTTTTTCTCAAGTTAAGTAGCTGTCACATTTATTTCATCTAAATAGACAAGGGGATTTACTTGGAGAAAATCCCAGTACCTGGTGGTATTCTGCCTTGCTTTATTTTTTTTGAAATCTCATCCTGATTTCTAAATCCAAAATATTTAGTCAGCAGCATGATAACAAAACAAAACTCATCTGTGTGCCCAGCACTGCGCTGGTAGCAGGGGATTGAAGAGCAAGTGTTGTGGTAGCTGAAATCAGTCTTTCTCCTGGAACCTTGTTTGCTTCATTTTTAAAGGAGACAAGTAGACTATATAAAAGCATGGATGCTAACAATCACATAAATCGCAATCATTGTTCGGTTTTCTCTATGAGTATTTAGAGATTTAGGGAGAGTGGTTAAAGTCGGTACGATTTTACTGGAAAACACACAAACAAAAGAAGTACATTAAAAATAATAGTAGAATGTTAGCAGAGAAAGACAGCAAGCTTGGAAAAAATAATGAAGCAGACTGTTAGGTAAGTAGATATATACATTACAAAACTTAAAGATAAATTTAAAATTGGCTATAATTTAAAAAAAATAAACACGTCAGCCACAAAATCTGAATTTGTAAGTTAAATGATTCATATTGTTCTGAGAAAAGTACAAAAGATAGATTCGAGGTAGGAGGCCTTCATGAAGGCTGCCTTCAACCTACCTGTACTAATTGCCATTGGTTTCCACTCCCTGGGCCCCCATGTGTCTAAGAGTAGAACTGCACTCCCTAGGCTTCCAATGGCTCATGTTTGACAAGTAAATCACCAAGCCTTTCTTCAAGGCACCTTCTGGGTGTATTTCAACCACCAGCTAAGTGTGTTAACTATTTAGAGCACCACCCTAGAGCTCTCAATGAATCCACAGTATAGTGGACTCTTAATTCACTCAACTCTACTCAACTATTAAGTCCAAGCCACCCTCTAGAGGGCTTTTGGTGGCTGTAAATCACACAGGAAATTGCCCATCTTTCTCCCAAGGAGACACTGGTCAAGTTAACTGCCTTTAGGTTATAAGCAAAACTCCCTATAGGCTTGGCCACTAGAGAGGAGACTCTTAGTTCTGAAAAACGAGTAGTGTCAACGTGTCAGGCCCATATAAGAAATGACACAAGTAGGTTTTCTAACATTTAAGTCACAAACTAAATGTTACCATTCGAAATTCCTTTTAGGAACTCAAGCAAGACATCTCCAGCTTTCGTTTCGAAGTCCTGGGCCTGCTAAGAGGAAGCAAGCTTTCCACCATCCAGGCTGCTAATGGCGCAAAGGAGGCTTCCAATTCGGCCGACTCAGATGAGAGGAGCGACAATGAAGGCAGCAGTCGGGACAAGAAGAAGAATTTCAGCCTTTTTGACTTGACCACGCTGATCCACCCCAGGTCAGCAGCGATCGCCTCGGAGAGACACAACATAAGCAATGGCTCGGCCCTGGTGGTGCAGGAGCCCCCGAGGGAGAAGCAGAGGAGAGTGAATTTTGTCACTGATATCAAAAACTTTGGGCTGTTTCACAGACGATCAAAGCAAAACACTGCCGAGCAAAGCACGGGCCACGTCTTCTCTGTTTCCGAAGAGGTCGCGCGTCACCACCACGCCGAAGGAGGGCCCTTTGAGAGAAGCATTCAACTGGAATCCCGCACGTTAGGCTCCAGGGGTGACCTCAACATCCCGGGGCTCAGTGAACAGTGCGTGCTGGTGGACCACAGGGAACGCACCACGGACACGCTGGCCCAGCCAGGGGCCACGCGAGCGTGCTCCTTCGAGTCAGACAAGGTGGTGGTGGAAGACACTGTCCCCATCATACCAAAGGAGAAACGTGGCAAGGAGGAGGACTGCAGTCCAGACTATGACCTGTCCCTCACGGACACGGTCACCCAGGACGACTATGTGACAACGAGACTGTGACACTTGGGAGGAGGAAGAGCGTGCCATCTTCTGTATCCGTCTGTCCCACGGCGCTCTGGGCAGGAGCACCGGTGTAAAATTCAATCAGCAAATGCTAACGTACACTTTATAGCGCCCGGCGATGTTGGTATACGGCATAATAACTTGTAACATACTTAAATAAGGAGAAGGCAATCCAAAACCCTTCTGTTTTATAGCCTGCTTTTGCTTACACCATTTGGTTTACGATGTTTTTCCTCTTTGATGTTAATAAATAGAACGCACCTTGTTATTCTTGTACTGTTGCAATAACCCACAAAAAATTTGTAGCTATCTTTTTTCAATTAAAACAGATGCGCTCTATTTCATGTGGTAGCTGACTCCTATCCTAGATATTTTTATATGCAGGAAAAGCACCGTAGTTGAAGTTTTAGAGCTTTCTTTAACTCCTTAGGAATTCTAAAGGTGGTACTTGCCAAGGACTTTTCTCCTAGTACTATAGTTTGGTCTTAAAATGCACAGATTTCCAAATTATTTCTTAAGAGATAAATCAGTATAGTACAGAACGAAAGCAAATACCTCTCTTATTATGGTGTTTTGGCCAACCTCTGTTAACATCAAGGCCAGCTACCCTTTGTAGATTTATAGGTTGTCACAATGTCTTAGATTGGGGTCTCTAGAGATGCAGAACACAGAGAGGGAGAAGGGAGAGAGGGAGAGGGAGAGATAGATGTATTCAGGGAAATTATTTATCCTTTTGTAGAGCCTGTCAAGTCCCATATCTCTAGGTCAGACCTCCGTACAGAAGCCTCATGATTCCCTTAATGGTGGAAATTGATTAATCCAGGGCCAACAAGTGAGAAAGGCTACAAGTTCAAGAACCAAAGAGGTGATGAGACAGATCCAGGATCCAGAATGAGCAAAAAGTGTGTGAGCTCGGCCAGACTTCCATATGTGTGTGTGTGTGTGTATATGTGTGTACATGTATATATGTACACACACACACACACACACACACACACACACACACACACAATGTAGGCCTCACCCCCATTTGCTACTCTTAGTTGTTCCCATCCAAAGAATGATTGGATACCATCAAACTTTTTTCCAAAAGAAATGACTCTATAATAGTTACCAAAGTTGGGCATAGTTGCCAAACTTCGTAGCTATGTTGGCCCACAATTTTAATTATCACAGTCAGTGTTCCAGTTGTTGTTATTTATTATTATATAACACTGAGTTGAGATTAACTCATTCACTGAAACTTCAGTGTGTTTTCAGAGGTAATAAATAACGGGGGAGAACGTGGTCCATCTTTATCCCACAGAGCAGCTGGTGGATTCAATGAGCCTTTGGGTTGCCAGTGCAGCTTCTTACCACTAGGCCACCAGTACTCCAATGATTCAGTTACGACAAGAAATTTTTGTCTTAATGCATTTTGGAGATTAATTACTTTGATAGCATTGGACAGAAAAAAGTTGTCCATCAGAAGAAAAAGAACAAATGACCAATTTAAATCCAACAACTGTGAGTATTAATATAAGCCTTTGCAGAATATCGGAATTTCCAAACACCGTCAAGAATTTCTGGTGGTATATTCCTTATGGAGTTGCACTGCTTACCCAGACGTTATGCTTCTCTTTGGTTCAAATCCACCAGTAGCATCAAAGGAGAAAGATGGACCGTCTCCTCCAATGTGATTTACAGCCTCAGAAAATCAATTGGAGTATTAGCATTTCAGACTCACATAAAATGAGTTGTTTGTTGTTGAAAAGGAATACCAATGAATTGAAATTATTTAAACCCTAAACAGAGCTAAAATAATTCCTATTTAAATTTATTTAAATAATGTAAATTTTAAGTGTAGGTCTATTGTTTTCAATCAATTCTGTATTCTTATCAACTCAAAATAGGCATTAAGACATAATCATTGTTCTCCTCTCTTCCTCTAGTGCCTGATATATATTCTTTAAAATTAAAGGCACTCATGAAACATGATTAATTTTATCAGCACATATAGAAAGACATAGTTGGATTTCTTTTTTACTGTCTAGTATCTTGAACAAGATTAATTTATTGTTCTGTCATGTGTACAAGGTAATTTTACTATAATATATTTACTTATGGAACTAAAAAATTCCCTGGTATAAAAATAATACAAACAACTTCTGAAAGTTTATATCCCTCTAAGTTCACATTCCTTTATTCTCTTTAAGCCAGCATAGAACTAGAAAGTGGTTTTTTCATCATATGTAATTGGAATTTCAAAATTGCATTTCAAATCTATAGAAAAATGCTGAGCACATCATTTTGCTTCAGAAGTTACCCACATGAATTAAAGACATTATGTGTGTTTTAGAATGAAACAAAGAATGAGGTGATGAAACATAAGATTATCCTACGTCCAGAATAATGAATAACAATAAAAGCATTCTCTCTCATTCTCTCATTGCCCTCAAGTTGGACCCAGTGGGTTCAAAATCCTCCAACGGGTTTTTGTAGCCTCTAAATAGAATGAAAAGAAGTTGTCCATCTTTCAACAGTGAACTTGCTAGTGGATTTGAACTTCCAGAAAGATGCTGCCTTTGGTTTATGTTCTATACATCAATTAACATATACTTAATATTGTAACAACTCTGAGAAGTAGCAAACATTTTTATCCCCTCTGCTCTAATTTTACAGACAAGACAACTGAAGGAAACTAATGTGGGTAAAATTAAATAATTAATGATCGAGCTGGGCTGTATTACAAGATAATGCCCTTGATAGCTCTACTGTGCTCCCTTTGAAAGTGTATCAAGATAAAGCAAAAACTAACAGCACATGGGTTAAAGACATGTATTGTCACTCATAAAATCCTTTGTTTTAGAGTGAGAATGATTTGCAGAATATCTGTAAGTTTGTGTCTCCTCTTGTAAAGCAAAGATAAACTGCAAAATGAAAGTTACATTTTATTTGATCCTTTAAACTCCATCACCCCCAAGAAGGATATGTTTTTGTTGTTGTTAAGTGCTGTTGAATCAAGCCCGACTCATAGCAACCCTATGAACAAAAGACCTGAACCCTGTACTATAACTATCGTCATTTCTCTATGTTCATAGAGTTTCCAGAGGCATGTGGTTTAGGAAGTGTATGTCTCTCCTGCTTCCAAACAGAATTGCTTTGGGAGCTCCACCAAACACTGTCCATGATGGGCAACCATTATGGCATTTGACACACCAGTGGCACAGCATTCAGTGTCACAACAACCCCAAGTTGCTTCAGTAAAGCAAATTGACAGACCAGTGCTGTACCACTTAGAATAACGCTCATCCCAAACACAATTAAAACCAATGCCTTTAAATACAAGGCATGCCCACCAGGTCCTGGTTGACTCTAAACTGAGAGGCTTCCAGCTCATTGTGACCTAAATCCTGCAAATCCAATCAGCTCACACCCGACTGTACATATAAGGGTGTAGATGTAAATTTAGTATGGCACTTAAATTTAGCTTTCAGAAAGGTCAGAGATACGGATCCCCTTTTACTCCTAATTCTCACATTGCTTTAGAGTTAGTAGGAAGCAGAATAAGTTTGCAGGTAAGAAAAGATCTAAAGAATAAGCCTATTGCTACAAGTCATACCTTTACCTCAAGTGCTTTAGGATTTAGAGTAGCTTCGGAACCAGTGAAAGATCCCATTTGTTCTGTGCCAGACAGATAGAAGGGGGCCTGTAAGCCCCATACTCCATCATTGGGGTAATTTCCCAAGTTTCCTTTTTAGGCTCCTCTCTGTTTCTATTTTTACAAAATAAGACGATATTCATCATCCTTAGATACATTTCACCAAAATTTAATTTCCAATTTCCTGTTATATCACATACCATCACTAAAAATAAAAGCCATTAAAACTTTTTTCACATTTGCTTATTTATATCAGAAGTTGGGGTGCTGGTATCCTACAAGATAGCATTAAGTGAAGACAGGAGGATTTATTTGGATTAGATGTAACCATCCAGTGTTCTAGCAAAAAAGTTATGGTTTCCCAGATGACATACTCACTGAGAATGCATTTCTGAATATGAATAAAGTATTTGGTATTGTTAAAACCCAACCAAAAACCCGCTTTCACGAGTCAATTCTAATCCAGAGTGAACAACTTTCTAGGACAGAGGAGGTGGTTGTTGTTGTTGTTATTGCTGCTGTTGTTATTAGGGGTCATTGAGTCAAGTACAACTCATAGATAGCCTGTGAACAACAGATCTAAACTCTATGCTATCCTGTGCCATTCTCATCATCACGAACACAATTGAGCCCCTTTCTGCAGTCATAGTGTCTGTACAGGTCATTGGAGGTCTTTCTTTTGCTGGCCCTCCACCTTCCAAAGTGTGATGTCCCACTCCAAGAAATAGCCTGCCTATAAGATTTCCAAGGCTGTAAATCTCATTCCAGCTGACTAGTAGTCATTCTTCTCCATCTTTTGTAGTACCTGGTGTATTTGAACAACCAACCTTTCAGGTAACAGTTGAGCACTTTAACTACCATGCACAGGATTCCTGTTGTCAATACTAAAATAAAAACACCAAACCCACTGCCTTCCAGTGAGCTGCAACTCATCATGACCCTTCACCTAGTCTCTGAGGATGTAAATCTTTGAGAGGAGACTGGTCATCTTCTGTGAAGCAACTACTTGATTTGAACTGCTAGCCTTTCATTTAGAGGCCAGCACATTACACAATACACCACCAGGGTTAGCCTTAGTAGTATTGTCCTAAAATGGAATGGTTTTTTTTTTCTAAATATACAATGGTATTATGCATCCTTTTTAAAGATGCGCAATGAATTAGGATACAAAATCTCAAGTACATTTCCGTGTAGCTGGAACCAACTCACAGCCAACCCTCTAGTGGGTTTTTAGAAGCAGTAAAATATACTACAGGGGGTTGCCCATCTTTCTCATGAGGAGTCACTGGTGGATATGAGCCACCTGAGAGGTGCTACATTTGGGGCCACCAGAGGTTCTGAAGGATAGAATAAGAAAAAATTAGGTGTATGAATCAATGAATGATTGGTTTTTACCAACCTCTACGAACTTTCACTACAATTATGACCAGAAAGAAGAGAAATATTTTAAAAAAGAATTACAGCAAAGAAGTGATAATTCTTTGGGATTATTTTTTAAGCATTGTCTTAAGCAAACACAATTCTTTTTATGCATTGTCTTACCATAGAACTTCCAAATTCCAGGCAAAAAAAAAAAAAAAAGAAACATAAAAATAAAAAATAAAACACTGAACTCCACACAGGGTCTTGATGTTACCTTTCAATATAA